TGCAGCAGTTGTGTGGGGGTGAAGAAAAGTCACTGCAGGGCAGCAGCTCCAGGCACTGCCTCCTCCAGAGGGATGGAAATGCCAGAGCCTGAGCAGTGCAGGTGCCTGGAAACACTCGGAAAACACGAGATCCCTCTGGAAAAACACAAGCATGACTCTTGTCTGAACAATTACTCACTCTGAAGTCTGAAGGAGTGGTAGCCATGGATATGTTAATGCTTAGAAATGTGGCAGCTTTCACCACATGAATGTTTCCCTTCTTCCCCTGCCCTTTTTTTGATCCCATCTAACTGCCCCATGTGTTTGCTTTATTCTTTAAGGAAAGGTAAACCTGGCTTGGCTCCAAGTGTGGGATGGGTGGGTGATAACACATTTGTGTGACATGGAGACCTCTGCAGGTGGCACATTTGGCGAAAAATTTCTGCTTCATGTCTTGTCTCCCAGAGCAGGAGCTGTTGTTTGTCGCTGGCAGGTACTGGAAAATTCTGGAGCAGCAGGACCAGTGGGATTGAAGGCTCCAGGTATCCCCTGGGACACAAAATCCCCTTTGGGAACCTCAGTTCTGTCACACAGAAAAGCCCAATAAAGGCTTGGTTGGGATTTTTTGAGAGCTTTTGCTGAGTTCTTGGCTTGTCCTCCTGTTGTTTTCCAAAGGGGTGGGAATCACCAGTTGCCTACAGTCCATCAGGAGCCATCTCTGAGTTCCCATCTGTAAAATGTGGATGCTTCTGAGGCAAAATTCTGGGAGAAAATTCTCTTTCATGCCCTTATCTCCCAGAGCAGGAGCTGTGGTTTGTCCCTGGCAGGTGCTGGGTACCTTGATGGAAAGTTCTGGAGCAGCAGGACCAGTGGGATTAAAGGCTCCCAGAGCCACCCTGATGCTCCAGGTATCAAAATGCCCCTTGGGAACCTCAGTTCTGTCACACAGAAAAGCCCAACAGGGGCTTGGTTGGGGTTTTTTGAGAGCTTTTGCTGAGTTCTTGGCTTGTCCTCCTGTTGTTTTCCGAAGGGGTGGGAATCACCAGTTGCCTCCAGTCTATCAGGAGCCATCTCTGAGTTCCCATCTGTAAAATGTGGATGTTCCTGGGGCCGCAGCAGAGATGGACCAGAGATAGACCCACATCCTGAACTCATTTCTCCCAGGCACTTCAGTGGGATGCCCAGCCCAGAACAATGGCAGGATACACGACCCTAAACATTTCTGCAGGGCTTTGAAAGATGAAAAGCAGGGACTTTGCTACCTATGTCAGAGGAGGGGCAGGGAAACGTTCCATGATGTTTATAGCAGCCATCACGGACATTACACATGGAAAGATGGGAAATGCTGCCCTTTTCTGGGAGGGAGATAATCTTTAAGAGATGGCAACCAGGAAATCAAAGCATTTGGTACACAACAGCCTCCCAAGCAGGGGGGTTTGCCCGAGGAACGTGGCCACAGCCACAGATGTTTCCTCCAGAGCCAGAAGTGCTGTGAGGGGCTGTTCCTTCAGAGGAACCGGAATGAGAGAAATCCCTGCACACGCTCTTCCTCCCCCTCCTCACCCCTGTGCAGAAAAAAGCCAGCCCCAGTGCTGGATTTTTCAATGGAAACATTCCCCTAAAAGCTGTTTGTTTCTCCCTTTGGAGCAGGAGAAGATGATGAAATAAAAAAGCATACACACAAAAAAAAAAAAGGCATGACTTGAAGAGAGTGTTTAACCATCCCTTTCCTGATTTTTTTTTAATTTGGATAATAGGATAAAACCTCTCTCCTTCCAGGCTGCGTGTTGGGAGGGGATCAGGGAGATTCTGGAGGGCTGGATGTGGACCTGGATGTGAGATCCAGGAAAAAGCCTTGATGGTGAGAGATCTTTTTTTCTGCCCTTTTTCCTTCCCTGGAAACAAATAGTCTCTGACTCTTGTAACTCAGAGCCTACCCAGCAACCCAGCTTGTTTACTGTTGTCTTTGGTGGCTTGAAGCTGTGTGGCCTTGTCCCTGTTCCAGGAGATGCATGGACATGGCTGGCTGAAGGAAAACCCTCACGCCTGTGCAGTTTTGGGGGTGGCACGGAGCCACCTCGCCCTCATTGTTAGCAGATTCCAGCGTTGCCTCACTGCTCTGAGCCACACACCACGCTGGCACTGATGGCCTCCAACAAAAAAACCCCTCCAAAGTCACCCTGTTCTCCATCCTGGAGCTGGTGGAGGCTCCACTCATCCCATGCTGGCTTCCCTCTGCATTTCTTCCACAAGTGAGGGTAGGGAGAAAGGGAGAATGGTCCTGGGGAGGTCACTTCCCTCATGGAACACCTTGGTGGTCACCGCTGATCCCAAACCCTCCCGGCTCCAGGGGTTCATTCCAGACCAGCATCTTCCCCCACTGAACCCCCAAAAAGAGGGGAGAGCAGCAACAACAGCTCAACAACAGCATCTCAAATGTTTGGGCCATGAAAGGAGCTGGAAAGAATGTGCCTGACCACATGACAGGCGAGGACATCGGGCTGTGCAGAGAATAGAGAGTCCTCAGTCTGAATTATTTGGAACAAAGTTGGCTCAGGAAAGCGTTTCCCATTGTACTGCTGAACGTTTCTTCTCATCACACAGCTCTGCTGGGGCTGCTGCTGCACCCAAGGCTGTGCTAAGGATCACTTCACTCCCTATTAAAGGCAGAGTAGAGATCTATCAGCAGCATTTCAGACTTTTCTGCAGCATCCAGGCACTGCTTTGCTACTGCTGATGATTTTCTGATGAGTCTTGAGCAGTAAAACCGGGCCAGGATCCACCTGAGATGAGGCACATTTTGTACCTTTGTGCACAGGTCACAGCTACAGCAGGTACAGAATGAGGAATAAACACCTGAGAAGTATTCTGCTCTATAAAGGCTGTAACTCAGTCAGAGAATGTTTCAAGGTATGGATTTTATGGTTACATTGTTGGTATCTTGCACAGCCTTGATCTGGGCTGAAATAAAACATAAGCAGGCTTCAATTCCTTGAGATTTCTTATGAGATCAGAACCCAAGTATTCAATAAAATCTGTTGCATTTCAGAGTTTTGTGGACTTATAGAAACCCCTCCTGACTTTGCTCTAAGGGATGCCTTCCTGAGCATGCAGAGAGCCTGGAACAATAGCTCTGACAGAGGCAGACTGCCCCATTCACTTTTCCTACACAATCTGTTTCCTTTAGGGTCAACCCACAAGAGAAAATCCACATCATACAGCTGGAGACACCAGAAGGCCAAGCAGGGCTGTGCTTTGGCCACTCTTGTGTTTAATTATTTTAATTTAATTCAACAGCAGTTTGGCAGCTGGCACTGAAATGTCTTTTAGCTGGAGAGCAGCAGCACCAAGAGCTCCATCTCTGCCCCTGTTTCCCTGACTCTCCAAGGTAGATCTGCACTGATTTCAGAGAAGGATTTACTAACTGAGATGGCAGCACCTGAAAGACCTTGACATTTATTAGTTACCTGCATCAAAAATACAAGGATCACTGCAGCATTTTTCCAGTCCATTCAAAATGCTAATAAACTTAAGATTACAGTAATTATTTTTCTTCCTAACTAAAATTCATAGAATTATGGAAGTTGAAAAAGAGCTCCAGGATTATCAAATCAAATCTGTGACCCATCCCCACCTTGTCACCAGCCCAGAGCACTGAGTGCCACGTCCAGCCCATCCTTGGACACCTCCACCACCTCCCTGGGCAGCCCCTTCCAATTCCCGACCACCCTCTCCATGAAGAAATTCCTCCTGATTTCCAACCTGTTGGATAACCCCAGTTAGCATCTCCTCATAGCATGGTTTGGAGTTTAACTCTCAGCTGGGAAAGCAACAGGATATTGGGTAAATGCGGTGAAATGTGGCTTGGAAATACATGACAGAAAAAAGTGACAGGCTGGAAAGAGCCCAGATTTTGGACACTGCTCACCTGTGGGCTCCACCCAGAACCACAACTGCAAACAGAAAAACATCCAGATGTTTGTCCAAACAAATCTGGGCCCTGGTTACAGGCTGGGCTGACAGAAAAGCAAGCAAAGTTACCACATTTACAGAACACATAAACAGATCTGCACTGAAACTTCAGATGGGAAGAAAGGAAAGAAGGTAGAGGATGTGATTCCTACAAATGTGACCAGAAAAGGGTGGTTCCATCTGAAATGCAACAGAGGAAGTTTGAGATGCTGGAAGTTTTCGTTGGCAGAGTCACTGGCTTCTAACTGCTAAGGTCACCTGGACATCTTCAGCAGAGCAAGAAATATCCCAGAGTCAAAAGGAACAGCAAATGATCCCATTACTCAATTTGCCATCATTTGAAAGGGACAGGCAGGGATGGATAATTATTTTTTTGCTTTTCTTTCCTCTGCTTTGGAAGCTGATGATGCAGTGAGTGTGTTTGGGTAGTAACATAACCCTGACTCTCAGCCTTGAATGCACAAGCCCTGAAACGCGACCCACAGGGCTGTGCAGTGCTCGTCTGGATTTGGAGTGATACTGGAAATCATTTGGAGCTGTACAAAGAATGGAATGGAACTACTGATTTTTTCCAGATCCTTTGTTGACCTTACAAGAAGTTCACAGAATGACAGAATGATTTGGGTTGGAAGGGATTTGAAAGATCATCTTGTTCCAACCCCTGTGCTGTGAACAAGGCCACTTTCCACCATCCCAGGCTGCTCCGAGCCCAAACCTGGCCTTGGGCACTTCCAGGGATCCAGGGGCAGCCCCAGCTGCTCTGGGCACCTGTGCCAGGGCCTCACACCCTCCCAGGGGAGAATTTCTCCCCAGTATCCCATCCAACCCTACTCTCTGTCAGTTTGAGGCCGTTCCCCCTTGTCCTGTCACTCCAGGCCCTTGTCCAATGTCCCTTTCCATCGGGAGGAGGAGTCACTTCCATTTGGAAAGCCGCAGTGAGCTCATCCCTAATCCCTCCTTCCTCCAGGCTGAACAATCCCAATTCTCTCTACCTTTCCTCCCAGCAGAGCTGCTCCATCCCTCTGCTCATCCTGGTGTCTCCTCTGGACTCTGTCCAACAGCTCCATGTCCTTCCTGTGCTGGGATCCCAGGGCTGGATGCAGCTCCAAAGCTTTCCTTGAGCCCTTCCCTACAGAGCCACATGACAACGATGAGAACTTTTTATTTAATACTGAATAAATGGCTGACCCTCGAGGCATAATAATCTGCTTAAAATATACTTAACAGTATTCCCTGGCTAAGAAAAAAGTTTCCAACTCTTACTTTAAAAAAAAAATAAAAATCCATTTAGATGCTTACTTTGACTATGTGCCCAGCATCACTGGCAAAAGTGCTTCTGTTTAGAAAGGATGGCTGGGCCAAAATTCAACTTGTTTTTCAGGAATAGGAAACCCAAGGGGAAAAAAAAAGGTAATAAGAGCTATAGCAGATAAATCATTATTGGCATTACACTGGAAGGGAATGTTCATGTCCAGGACAGTGCCTGGGAGCACTTTCACCTGGAGAAGTTGTGTGGTGCTGTCTCACCCTCCTCACTGATGATGTGGAACAGCATCAGGGATGGTGACTAGGGCACAGAGGCTTTGCTACAATCTCCAGCAAATTCCCAAAGAATTCCATGCCAGACTAAGTGTGCCTGCTTTTCATTATCATCATTGTAATATTTCACAGAGGCAGAGGAATCACATCTCAGTGATCCCAGCAGCTATTTCATAATTATCTGATCCATAAGAAAGGCGGTTTTGGGGAAAAGCAGAGAAAACTGGGATTTGTTTTCCTCTGAAATAAGAAATATAAGGTTTACCAAGGGCTGATTTAGCAAAGAGCTGGGAAAAGGGTTCCCATTTTTCCTACCTGATGTTACCAGCTCTTAGCAGAGCTAGAATTAAACCAGTGTTTCCACTCTTCAAGGCACAAAAAGGACAATCCCTCTCTCCCTGGCCATTTTTATAAAAAATAAACTTAAAACTTCCAACAGGCAAATCCCATTTTTAGCAAACAGAATTGTTATCCTTAGGACAGATTTCCTGCTGCTGGCTTTTAATCTCACAGGTTAAAAAGGACAGGTCCAACCTTAAATGACTGTCTGGAACTACCTTGCTGCAGGTGCCAAGGGGAAGGGCTTTAAGCCAGGCTTAACAAAAACACCAAACAACACCAAAACCAGAGTGTGAGCACTTTGTGGGCATTTTTTTATAGAGAAATGGGTCCTCTCTCACCTGTGGGGACAAACTTTTGCATGTCCAAGTGCAGGAGTGAAGAGAGTTTGTGCAGAAATTTGGTTTAGTTAAACCTGAGGCTTACTAAAAACCTTAAAACTTCAGGTTGGCTTCTCACAAAACAATGAAAACACCTTTTATTTTGATTTTTTTTCTCCCCCATAATCATTTGTGACTACTGATTTCTCCTTGCCCTCTGTTCCTCTGGCTCTTGGCCAGCTCCACTCTCAGAGCATTGCCCCCAAGGCTCAGGCCTTGCAAGGAGGACACAGCTCTGTCTGCAGCTCCTTGATCCCTGTAATCCAGGAAAGCCCTGTGCTGTGCTCCCTGCCAGTTCACCCGAACAGGAACTACCCGCAATTCCCTCAGGGCGCTTTTCAGCTCGCTCACCCTCAGGCTGCCAGGCAAGTTCCCCACGTACACAGTGCTAATTGTGTCAGACCCCTCTAATTTGGGATTCACAGGATCACTTTCCACACAGGGTTGTCCCACTGGAGCTGAGCCTGGAGCAGCCCGTGGTTGGGTAGTTGCAGCCATCACCTTCTTGTTTGAAATTGCTGCTCTGTTGGTGTTTGCCAGGGCTGGATGTTCATCTTTGAGGGTGACATCCTTGCCAGCCTGCTTCTCCCTGGATCGAAGAGTCTTTAGGATGGGGATTTTTCCCAGCATCTCAGAGCTGACCTAAAAAGGAGGAAGATGGATATAATTATTAGAAAATGATTTCTTGCCTTCCAGAAAAAGATGATGAGCATCAGGGCTCATTTGTGCCATAAAAAGAGAGGAACCTTTATTATTCTGCTGCCACGCACAGTGCCAGAGCATTCCAAATGTTCCTAATTGCTGGCCTGATTGGGAAGTCTCTCCCAAAATACACACTGCAGGACAAAAATAAACATTAGTGATTCTTGAAGCACAATGTGGATCCAGCAGGCAAATCCCAAACCAAGTCAGGACTATTCCAATTTGACATTTATTTATCTGAGTGCTTTCAGATCTGTGTTCTCCTTGTTCTGCCTCTGTGTTTGCTTTGACCAAGGGCCTGTGCTCCTGCCCTGGCAGAATCCATCCCAATCCATCAGACACTTCCACTCTGCAGAGCTCCTGGTGCTCTTTTCCCCCAGAACAGGATATCCCGTGGGCTGGGTCACACAATGGTGAAAGCTGCAGCGGGAGCGTGCCTTGGAGCAGGGTTCCTATGGATGTGGGCCCAGCTGGAGGCACATCCCCTGCTTGGGGCACATCCCCTCTGTGCCATCCGACCTCCCACACCACCCACAGCTCCTCAGATCCCACACAGATCTGCTGGGCTGGAGTAGGGAACAGAAGTGCTCGGACGCTGCACTTCACACTGCGAGTCTGTTATTCCTTCCATCCATCCATCCATCCATGCCCCGTTCCCAAAGAGCTTTTCTGTGAGGGCTCTTCCTCTCCACAGCTGAACCCCATCCATGTGAGGCATGAGGAGATGCCCCAGGCTGCACTCAGACACTGGCAGGAAATGCAGTGGTTCCCCAGCTAATGTGGTTGAGCTCTTGGCTTGCACACTGCGCTTGGAAGGAGAAGGAATTCCTGCTTGGCTGCTGGACAAGTCCAACATCCATCAACACGAGATCCAATACTGAAATTTAGGGAGCAAAACAGAGCGTGGGGAAGCAATGTCTGAGCTAGCAGAGACCCAGGCTAGTAGCCCAGCATGTCAGCAGGCCACTCTAGCAGGGCAGCATGTTCAGCAGGCTGGACTGGAGCAGCAGCAGTTAATCCCAGCCAGGACATGCCAGCAGATCTCCCAGGCCAGACCTCACTCATCCCAGAGCCTCTGGATTCCTGCTCCTACAGTTACAGTCACAGCCAGCCTGGATCTGCACAACATCAAGCTCAGCTCTCTGGGGACAGGAGCCCAGCTCTGAAGTGACTCGAGGAAAAGCCAAGCCAGGGTGGGGGCAATGTCAGGATGAGGTGACAGGAAAGTCACTCAACAGAATTCTCTTCATGCTTCTTCTTCTGAAGAGCAAACAAGTGGGTTTTATTTCAGGCTGGAACTCTGCTAGTTCTGCTAACACAACATCAAACAGCAAGGACTTGCTCCAGGAGCCTCCACACTCAGAAAGGTGCAGACCATTTTCAGATTTTACAGAGTTCTTACTCGGTGGATTCTGGGGCTGATTTGTTTTTCTCAGCCAAGAACTCCAAATGCAGCATTTGACAGCAAACTCCTCTTCCCTGAGTGATATAACATCAAACCAAGGGCTGAAGGATCTCACTTTGTTTGTCCTGGCCAACAATTAAGAAGATTTGTTGTCCTCTGTCAAATTTCGAAGTGAAATGTAAGCTCTATGCTAATTAAACCAAACAGGAAAAGCATTTTTCTGTTCTCATGCAACCAACCACTCCTGGGCCCAAAGTACAACCTCAACCTCTTCCCAAGAACAGCTCCTTTCATCCTGAAATTAAACTCAGTTGCCAGGGCACGGCTTGGGTGTTTGATTAGAAAGGGAAATGCTACCAAGGGCAAACCCTCAGGGCTTTGGAGATTAGGGCAATCAGAGATGGGCACAGAGAGGATAAACTCCAATTCCCAGGCTTTCAAGGACAATCCAAGGGCAGGATTTAGATATCCAGGGAACAGCACAACCCCTAAGAGACTTCCACAAGGCATCTTCTCCCACTAGGCAGATTTTGGCATCAGACTGCAGCTCTTGGAGCTACTGTTTCAGGCTCCTGGCAACTTCAGGAAGATACAGGAACAACAGCATTTATGTTTTAGGAGGAATTTCTGCACAGAAAGGGGGATTAGACATTGGAATTACTGCCCAGGGAGGTGGTGGAGTCCTCATCCCTGGAGGTGTTTAAGGAAAGACAGAACATAGCACTCAGTAGTCTGGTCTGGGATCAGTCACAGGTTGGATTTGATGATTTTGGAAGGTTTTTTTTCCCCATCTCAATGATTCTGGGATTTTTGTGAGGGCTGTGAACTATTTTCTTTAAAGTTATGATCAAACACCACCATGAAGTGATTCTGTCATTCCCCTAAAATCCAGCCCTGTGCAGTCACAACAGCAAAATACCTTCACATCACCAAAGCAACAAAGGCAGCTTACTTAGGGCTTGTATTTTTTTGTATTAGCAAAGATTTGTAAAAAACATTAGACAAGTTCTGACACAGTCAGCTGACACCTTCCTTTCACAAGAGGATTTACCTTAAGGACTTTTTTCTCTGGGGTCAAGGAGAACATCTCAGCTGGGTCAAACCTTCTAAACCCTTCCCCATTTTCTCCCACTTTTATGCCACAGAAAGGCAAAAACTCAATTTGGGGTTTTGATTCAACAAACAAATCCACTGGGGGTGAGAACTAAAAGGGCAAAGGGGACAGTGGGTGGCAGGGGAAAGGAAAAAGCTTGTTCTGCTCTGTTGCAAAAGAGCAAACAAAAGAACCCTGCGGTAGTACAATGTGTTGCTAATTACAATCATGCAAGAAGTTCCTTTTGTCCTGTGAGCCGTGGAGGATTGCAAGGATTTATTTCCATGTGGAGAGAGGCCAAAGATATTCCTTCTCTCTTTCAAACAAGCTGCACACTTCTGGGTGCTGTGCTGGCTGGTCAGTCCTCCCTAGCCTTGCTCTCCCCTGTCCTTGTCCCTACCTACTGCTTTAGGCTAAGCCAGAATTTAAGGGACATTGCAGCCCAGGGCTGGTTGATGCAGCTATGGGAACACAGGCAAACCCAGCACTGAAAGCTTCCCCCATCCCTCTAAAGTCAAGGCCAAGTCATTTAGTGATGTTTTTAAACTTTGGATTGAGTGATTTAGCTTTGGTAGTGAAACCAAAGCCAAAGAAGCTTCCCATTATCCCTTGACCACCAATTCCCAGGCCAGTTCCACACTTCAGCCCTCTGGGGCTGGCCAACAGAAGTGCTCGTGGGTCTGTGCCATAAACTCTGAAGTGATTTGGGTTAAAAATAACTCCACCAAAGGCAATTAATCATTTAATAATCCTGCCTACACCCTGCCATGGCTGGGAGAGCCTTGGGGAAAGAGGACAGCAGGCTGGATAAATTCTTCTGGCACACAATTACTGGGAAAGGAGCTGAGGAGGGAAATGTGGCCCCTTTCTGACAGAAACCTGAGGAAAAAAAGTCCTGGATGCTGAGTGCCAACACACATCTCCCCACACTTTAACCACAGCATCCATTGCTACGACACCTGGTTTGATCCCAAAATGTGGTGGCAGACGGACTCCTGCACCATCCCTGCTGGAACACCAGGGCTCTCCTCACCCTCTGCTCCCACACAACTCTCATTGGAGCCACTTTCAATATTTTGCTGAGGAGAATGAAGGATGTATTTGTCCTCTGTCAGAGTGAGTAATGCTGACCCCTGAGCCAGCCCAGGCCAAGGCAAACAGCACTGACATTTCCCTGGAAGCACTGCAATCCTGGAGTGAGGCAGACAGGGAAGGGCAGATTGGATTAGAGGCTGTCCTTATCCTCTCATTTCATTCTGCCTCCCACAGCTCGTCATCTCACTGACACTGGAACATGTGGATCTTGGGAGACTCCACCTGCAATCCCGTGCTCAGCTCTGGTGATCCCAGCTTCAGAAAAACATGGAATGTTGGATCAAGTCCAGAAGAGGCCATGAAGTTGGTAGGAGGACTGGGACAGCTCCCCTGTGGGGACAGGCTGAGAAAGTTGGAGCTGTTCAGCCTGGAGCCATCCCAGCACCTTCCAGGATAGGAATAGGCAAGGAAGCTGGAGAGGGACTGTTCATCAGGATAAGGGAAACTGCCTCGAAATGGAAGAGGGGAAGATTTAGTTTAGGTTTAGAGAAGGAATTATTCCCTGTGAGGGTGGGCAGGCCCTGGCACAGGTGCCCAGAGCAGCTGGGGCTGCCCCTGGATCCCTGGAAGTGCCCAAGGCCAGGCTGGACAGGGCTTGGAGCACCCTGGGATGGTGAAAGGTGGGCAGGGGCTTGGAATAAGATTCTGTTTAAAATCCCTTCCAAGCCAAACCATTCCATGATTTTAAGATGGAGACTGATGCTGCTGCCCTGGCAGGCTGCAAACACCACCAAACATCTCCAGTGCTGCAGATCCACCAGCCCTTACAAACAGGTGGGCAAAAGGTGTTTGCAAGGTTCATCTCTGCCCATCCTCAGAGGGCTCTGACCCCAGATTGTTCAACACCTCCAGGACAAACCCCACTTTTCATGCTGTGTCCTTGTTTCCAGGAGCTCTGAGCAAACAGGGATTTGAGGCCCAGACAAGGTCGGGACAGCAAGGCCAGCACAGTTGAACATTTTATCATTCATTTGCACAAAATGTCCAAATATGTGCACACAATCCAAGGGCATATTTCTGGGAGCTGGCAGCCCGTGGAGCCTGCTGGTGTCCCTCAGGAGAACCTTATGCAACCCACACTTGGAATCCATCCGTGGCAGCTGCATTCCGGGGACTCTGCAGCGAGGCTCAGCTTTGCAAAGGTGTTGAGATGTGTGACCACGTGTGGAAGCATTCCCTGCTCCCAAAAAACACAACAAAACAAAGCCTTGGCCACACTGACTGCAATTTCCTTCTGCTGAAGGATTTTCCAGCTTTTTGTGCATTTTTTCTTTTGAGCTTTCCTTTCCAAATATTCTATCACAGACGCAAATCAAAGCAGTTTGTTGTCAGAGGGTTTCCATCTCTGCCACTGGGATTCCCTCCACAGTTCATTTCATTTCAGGAAAATTATTTTCCTACTGCTATAAAATTCTCAGCAAAAGAATTATTTCAAAACCAGAAGGAAATGCTTGCTAAAATATAGTGATTTTTCCACCAACTACTCTCATTTCCCTCTTCATGAACCCAAATATTTTAATTTGTCTGTACAGTTTCAATTCAAAATAAACACAGCACAAATAACATGATAATTGGGACAAATATAATAGCCAGTGTCCCAGATAAAGATCACAGTTACCCATAGAAAATATTAAACGAGAAAGCAAGTAGCTTCATGAATTTAGAGTTCCCAGAAACAATGGGGTGGGTTTTCAATGCAGATGAAGCCAAATAATTCTCCACTGGCATCCAAATAAAGTTTTCCAGAGTGCTCAGCTCTCAGCAGCTCTTGCTGCCCTCCAGTAAGTCAAATTGATGTCCCAAAACTCTGACCTCAGAGGCACAAAACTTCCACAAACACCTCTCAGCACTGTCGATTTAGAAGTGTTTCTAGAGTGCTTGATAATGATTCTTTGGTATTAATGATATTGTGGCTCTTGCACTTCCTTGAAAGTCTTCAAGCAGCACAGAACACACAAGAGCACTCCAGGAAAATGCAGAAGTTCCTTCAGCATGGAAATGGAGCCCTGGATTTGTCTGCTGGGTGAGCACCTCCTTCGCTCTGGAAGGAAAACCCAGAGTGTGCACTACTGGCAGCATGTCCTTACAACAATCCTTAGCTCTAATCCCATATTTGCAAACACCTGGATTTCAAACTCCTGGCTTGATCCAGCCCTGTTCAATCAAGGATCAACTTTTTTTTTTACAGTGTACTTTCCACCTCACACGTCCTCACAATGAAGTTAAGCTACCTGCTGTTGACAAAACCCCATGTTTAGAAGTGGATGATTTATTTACTCACTGCCTCTTGGTTCATTTAGTTTTGCTCTGAGGAACAGGAATGCACCAGCAAAGCCAGGATTTGAAGGAGAAAAGGAGGGGGAGAAAATGATGGAGAAGTAGCCAGGAAAATCCAGAGGACAAACACTTAAATAGCCCCTATCAAATGTTGTCTTTTTCACCCCCTGGTGATTAACCAGACCTCCCACCTCCAAACCCTTCTGTGCAAGAGCTCAACATCCAGGTACCACCACAGGCACAAACAAAATAAATGTCACTCATTTCCCTGGGGAATAATGGTAATTTCTTCTTCATATAGACACCACACTTTGTTCTGGTCCCAAAAAGACAGAAAAATGATGATTATCCCTGCTCTGGCTGGTCTTCTCCAATTTTCCTATTTAATCCACACAGCTCCAAACACAGCTTGAGGTGTTAAATCAACACTCAGATATTCAAATGAAGGGTCAATCTGTGCTCCATTCTCAGTGAAAGCTGCAGAAAATTCAATTTCTGCTAAAGGCACAGAAAAAGAAATAAAGAAGTGTCAGCAAGGCCACTTACTGAGAAGTCTGACACCAAGGCAGACAAACTGATCAAAAGTATGTTGGCAAGATGGATGGAGCATGAGGGGTAGGCCTTCAACACAATTACATTCAATAAGATACTAAAAAAAATTACAATTCAAAAATAATTCAGTGGAAAAAATGCACTAGGACAGACAGAGCTGTTATTTATTTATTTATAACCTCAAATCCTCAACCACAGGCAGGGTAAAATGCTCTCCCACCATTGGAGTAAAAATAGTCCTGGCTAGAATTTGTTTGTTGTAGATACATTACCTAAAGAAATGTAACTCTTTTTCCTGGTTGGCAAATTTTAACAAACGATTTTTCATTTCCCTGGGAGTATTCCCTTAAAATTCCTCACTTTCTGTGGGTGCACAATTCCTCATTTCAGCATTCCTGCTGCACACACTCATGCAGGATTGTGTCTGCTCTCTAACTGGATGATTTTAGAAATGAAAATCCAATGACAAAAAGTTTTCCCAGCAGGAACCTCCAGCAAAACAATTCACTCAAGGCTTTTCTAAAACTATTTGGGAAGCTGAGGAAGTTTCTGACACTGGGAAGGGGGAAAAGGCCAAATCCATAATAGAGGAACTACCAATAAATAAAGATTCATGTTTAAAGTCACTGTTCTTCCACCTGAAAACGAGCTCCAGCCACAAATTTATCCCTGTAAAGTGAATCCACTACAGAAACAGGAATGTACCACCAGCAGGTTATGTTTTCCTTTCACAACCAACACAGATTCTACCCACCAGTTCCAACCCCCTGGGACACTTCCCACTATCCCAGATTGCTCCAAGCCCACTCAGCCTGGCCTTGGACACTTCCAGGGATGGGGATTATCAAGATACCTCTTGATAATCCAGCAACCTCAGATCTGGGAAATATCTCTCCTCCTCACCATTACCCCTTAAACCCCACTGCACACAGATGCTGTTTCGTTTCACCTGACAAACACATTTGCTCTTTTACAAAGTATTTCTAATAAAAAAAATTGTTTATATATAAAAATGAGGGGTTTATCAGCAGATTATTGGTACTGGTAAGCCACCAGCAGCAAAGGTTTAAGATTTAACTTGAATTGAGATTGAACTTGCCTTGTGCCACATTATTCCCTGAGGTTTTGGTCGTTTGCAATTAGTCTGGATAGTCCTTGTTGGAGTGAGGATGTAATCCACAGTTAAATCATGATCATCCAGGATCTCCTCTGATATGTCAAGCACCTACAAGGCAGAGATTTGCTTAAGTAGCTAAAAACCAAATTCCCTAAAACTGTGCCCCATTCCTGATGTCTTGTCACATGAAAATCCATCCAAGACAATGGGAATAAAGATGCCAAACCAGCATCATTCCATGTATCCTCTCCAGAGAGAGCAGGAAGTGCCCCAGAGCTCCCTCCCCACTGGAGAGGGGATATTTGAACATCTGAGCTCACCTGGCAGTCGTGCACGATGGTAACCACAGGTGTGTCCTCCTGCACTGCACCCATAGACACCATCATTGCATATTCCATGTCTGCATAACCTTCCCCTTTGCCAATTCTCCAGCCTAAAGCACAGAAAAGAGGGAAAAAAAAATTCCAAACAGCAGAGTTTTTGTTAAAATTGTTAAAACTGTGTCATTAACCGGGCAGTCTGCAAGTTGTAACTCTGGAAAAAAACAGATCAGCATCTCTCACAGAGCACAATTTCCTTGAAATCAGTACTGAAATGAAGTAAAACATCAGTTTCAATGATTCCTAAAAGATCCCAGAAGCTTCCCATTCAGAATAAACAAATTTAATGCAGTTAGCACAGCAGTTTATTTAGCAATTGTATTTAGAACCTTCTATTCATGTCCAACACAGGTTAATGTGGGTAAAGAGGAGTCTGGGTCACGTACAAAAACCGTGTTATTTTAGGCAAGGGATAAAGTCAGTGGAAAATTTTTCAGCACCAGCAGGTTTCCAAAATACTAGAAAACGCAAAATCTGATCCCCAAATAGGTACTGAATCAGCAGGTCTGACACATGTCCTTTCACACAGCCTGTGTGAGCAGAGATCTCTGAGCAGGGAGCCTACTTGGGTTCCTTTAAAACACAAATAATTTCTTGCCTCAAGAGTTTTCCTGAGGGCCAAAACATCTCTGCTGTGTGCCTACTGCATCCTGGAGGCATTGCTGCTTCCTGCTGGCACTGAGAGCAGGGATTTGTCACACACAGAGGCAGAACTCAAGACAAACTCAGCTCCAAGGATAAATCTGTCTCTGCCACGTAGTGTGGCCTTCCCGACACTGGATTGGGACCTTCCTGCTGCAAGTTTTTCCTTACCTTTTTCAGAGACAGCCACTGATCCCACCACAACCAAATCCACTTGTGCTATCCCATCCAGCCCCACAGGCACGCTGTAGTCTTTTACACCCTGCAGGAAAAAACAGCGTTTGAGGTTTGCAGAGTGCACAATCTTCCAAGCACCAAGGCAGAAATCCAGGATATTTTGATAAATCCAAGTAACTCCCCACGTTTCCAAGTGTATCTTCCATGTTTAGCCAAGCTGTACATGTCTGGGAAGTTATCCCCCAGGGAATCCTAGAATAGATTCCCTACTACAGTGACAAGAATTTTGGCACACTGCAAGGAGAGCTGAGGGAGGTGGGCACTTTTAGAAGCAAGGTTATTTATTTAGGATCAAAACCTGATATTTTGAAACACTTTTTCGGAAATCTGTTCCTAAAAATGAGGGCAAGTGACACTTCCTATTTACACTTCCCTACTCTACTAAAAACTTGAGGAATACCAGAGCACTACAAATGCTTCAATTAATTCTGAAATACAAATCACAAAGCTAATTTAGACACAGACAGCTACAGCACAAAGAAATCTGAAGTTACGCAAAGTAACACAATTATTTTTTCTTCCCCTCTCTCCCTGTTCAGCTCCACCCATTCCTCTTCAATCTGCTCTCATTTTAACAAAAATTCTGTCCAGACTGCAGAAATTAAAGATTTTGTTTATTTGGGTTTTTAAATATCAGAGGTTTAGAACTATTAAAAATATATCTTGTGATTCAATCACTACCAATATACGTGTACAGCACACTGCAAATGCTCCTCACACCAACTCAACTTGGTGCTAATCATAAACTAACAAAAAATCACAATAAAGAGCCAAACGTTTTCTGTGCAGAGCACAAACCCCAAGAATTCAGTAATTTGTGGCTGACTATCAGCACTAATGCCCATCAGGCACTTCCCAGCAGAGTGGTGAGGATTGTTTGCACAGTGCTTTGTAAATACAAACTGCCAACAGCATTTTTTCATTAGTGGGCTGGGGGGAAAACCAGAAACGGGGTGGTAAGAGCCCAGATCAGACAGCAGGCCAAGAGAAAGGTCTCTTTCAAAAGTGCTCTTCAACCCTGAACAGCTTAATTAGTTAATGACTCCAATAGAAGTTCCAACAAAGAAAGTCACTAATTACCAGCCATTTACAACCTCAGTTGTTTATGGCATTGCTGAAGAACTTTATTGCCTTTAGCAGGAGATAAAGGAGGAAATAAATCCATATAGTAACCTCTTCATGCTGTAGCAGTTGGGTTTTCAAGGCAAATAAAGATGGATATAAAACCTGCCAGGGTTTTCTGGCCAAAGCCTTCAGCTGTGGAGTGAGATTGTAACACGAGAGGGCAGCAAGAGACCGCGCTGCAAAATCAAACCTCACCACGTGCCTGCGCCTCACTGCATGCAAATGCCACAATTCACGGGTCTGTGGATGCTGTATTCTAAAAAAAAAACTCCTCTTCCCTATCTGGTAACATTTAAGAGCACCAAAATATTCCCCAGAGGGGTCTGCAGCTTAAAACTGCACAATGTAATAGCCTGAAGAAAAATCTAACTCACCTCAAGTCGCTCATAATTTTCCAAAAAACACTGAGAAATATCAATACCATCCTGCTAAGGCTAAATTTTCTCCTGATTTCAATCCTGTCGATGGCAGTTGTGTGCACAAACCCAGGAATAACATCCTAACAGGAAGATATTTCAGGTCTTCCAGCTGGTCCATCCTAACCCCACACTGTCCCACAAGTTAATTCAGCCCTCCCTCATTCCCACCTGAGATGTGGCACATCTTCTCAGGATCTCCTTGGTTGCACCTGGAGGGGGAACAATCCTATTGAACAGCCCAGTCCTCAGACGTGGTGTGGGAACCAGCAAAGTCTTCCTTGCCTGGGGAACCACATGAAAAGCTTCATTTTACACTGAAGAACTATTTTTACTGTCACACAGCAAAAGCTACATGGCCAAATATTTAATCTGTTATGTTGTAGCTAGTGTTGTTAATTCTGTAGTGGTTGTAATATTAATTTCCTCCAAATACAGGAAAATTCCATTAAAAGGTTTATTGAAGAAATAAAAGGTAAGGCATACATTTGAAGATATTTGAGGACACACCTTTAAAGATATCCCGTCCTTTAAAGGTATGTCTCTAAATGGCTTTATAAGATATATTAGTTTCAAACTGACAAAGGGCAGGGTTAGATTGGGTATTAGGGAGAAATTCCTCCCTGTGAGGGTGGGCAGGCCCTGGCACAGGTGCCCAGAGAAGCTGTGGCTGCCCCTGGATTCCTGGAAGTGTCCAGGGCTTGGAGCACCCTGGGACAGTGGAAGGTAGGAGGCTGGAACTGAATTATACTTCAAATCCCTTCCAACCTAAACCATTCCATGATACCTATTGGCTCAAGGTCCAGCAGTGAGCTGCACATCAGAACTGCTGAAGATGCAGTGCCCGGTGTTGCTGAGGTGCTGCCAGGCTCTGCTGTCCCCTCCCAGCCCCTCCTCAGGGCTGCCAAGGCACTGTTACCTGCAGAGCCGCCAGCCGGGCACCTTCCAGAGGTTTGTCAGGATCCACCTTCACCTCCCGTGCTCTGCTGAACGCATCCAGCTCCCTGAGAGAGCAGCAGGCCTGGAGAGAGCCCTGAGAGAGGGAAGGAGCCAAGAGGAGAACATTTTCACTTACTTCCAGCGTTAGGAAGCGGGCGTTCCTCTGGGGAGCATCGGGGTTTATTTTTACTGTACAGGCAGCCTGGAACTCCTGCAAGCCCAGAAGCCTCGTGGCAGCATGGGAGGCGCCCTGTTTGCATAAAATATCAGCGGATCAGAGAGCTCGCAGCTGAGATGGGCAATTTAGAACCTTTCACCCTCTAGAGAGGCTGATCTCCGCACATTTTTAATTGAGGGGCTGGTAATTTCCTGTTAATCCCTGGAAACATCCACGGCCAGGCTGGCCAGGACTTGAAGCAACAGTGGATAGTGGAAGGTGTCCCTGCTGAATGAGTTTTACGTTCCCTTCCAATTCAAACCAGTCTGTGCCTCACCGACAGGGCGGCTTTGTTATCTCTCCTTCGAGGGCTGCTGGGGGGTCTGGGGGGGACTGGGGGCCCATCCCGGCCCGGGCTGCAGAGCGGGCAGGCCCCGAGGCGAGGGAAGGAAGGAGCAGCAGGAGGCGGCCCAGCGCCGGCAGCCGCCGGTACCTTGAAGTTGGGGATGCGGCCGCGCACGGGCCGCGGGAATTCGGCCAGACCGGAGGCCTCCAGGTGCTCCCACACCTTCTCCCGGATGTCCCACTTGGAGGAGGGCCCTGAGGTGAGCGCCCGGCCCGGCGCCGCCATCGCCGTGACGCCACCGCCATCGCCGCCCTCAGCCGCCGGCCGTGACGTCACCGCCATCCCCCCGCTCTGCCGCTCTCCACCGCCCCGTGACGTCACTGCCGCTCCGCCCCCACACGCTCCTCAACACTGACGTCATAACCACGCCTCGCCACGCCCCCTATTTGTGACGTCACTGTATCAATGCCCCCCGCCCCTTTATTAAAATCAGACCGGGGGGGCGGGGCCTCTGAATAGGACACACCCCCTCCGGCGCGCGCACGGCGGCTACGGCGGCGCTGAGGGCTCAAAACGCCTCGAAGGCAAAGTTGAGGGAGCAGGGTGAAGGAATGTCGCTCAGGGCCCGATTTATTTCTGGAATTAAACATAAAAAAGGCCGTGCTGGCGTATTAATGTGAGATTTCGGCCCGCGTTATACAAATACCATGGGTTTTCCACCACGTCTTGTGGCTGGGGATGAAATACCACCTTGTTTTTTGTAAAATAATCCCTCACGTTAATTACTTTTCCATTTAAAATTGGCTGGTGGTGAATAAAACAATATCCAGCCTCTACGTGGGTTGCCCAGTCTGCTGGCTTCCCGAAAGTTCACTTCTTGCTCGCCTTTAATTGGATAATAAATGATTTGTTTGCATGATTTATTATTTATAGAATTAATATATTCCACTGAAACTGCCCTAAGAAGAGGGAGGATGCTGAGGATTCCGACATTGCTGAGCGGAGCAGGACGGAGGGGTTATGGGAACAATGAAACAAGGAAGGTTTATTTTAAAGTGTGGCAGGAAGAGGGGAAATGTCCTCGATTTATGCTCGGTTTGGATGCTGCGGATCCTCAGGGCCGGCTGTGGCTGTGCCAGCCCAAAAAAGCGGAACAAATTCAGATGCTCCTCTCTGAGCGGTCGCAGATGCAAACTCCTTTTCTGAGGGTTTTTTTCCTCCACTAAGGCCAAGACTCTGCCAAGTTCAGGAGTCTGAAGGAATTCCCCCTCCAGCTCTGAGCAATTCCCAAATTTGGATTAATACCCGGCATATCGTGATAAAATGCTTCACCTTTTCACTTGTAAGCATCCAAACAAAAAATAAAAGGAAGGTTTTGGAGCGCTGGTGCTGCGATGGGGTTTGGGAAGAGCCTTTCCTTGGCTCGGAATGCCGCTGGAGCCAGTGGGAATCCTTCCAGGCACAGCAGACCACCCATGAGGAGCTGGGACGAGGTGTTGGGAGCTCATTCCTGCATTTCCTACTCATGGAAAGCTGCCGGTGACCCCTCTGTCCCTGGAGAAGCGATTCCTGGGGCTGGGAGTGCCAGCACTGCCTGGCCACTGTCACCCAACATCCCCAGCCCAGCTGGGACTCGCTCCCACCCCAAGGAAGGGAAAGTGAGGGAGGGAGAGCAGTGCTGGTAATTAATTAATCCATTAACAATCCTTCTGGACCACCTACATCTCCCTCCACGCTCAGCTAAGCTGCTCCTTCCAAGGATTTGCTTCCAGAAAAGAGGGCCCGAGCTGTTTTCTGCAAATCAGGGGGGTTTGCCTTAAAAAAATGAGGAGTTGGCTGATAGGTGGCATTTTTTCCTGCTGGTTCAATTCCCTGGTTTGTCTCCACAGGGCTTAAATTTGCTCCAAATTCCTTTTGCAGGGTCTTTTCTGTCACTGCAGCCTGGAGCGGCTCACACAGCTGCCACAGGTGAGCCTCTTCTCTTTTGGAAGCAGACAAGGCTATCACATCTTTATTATAAATTAAATCAACCTTTGGATGTGCCTGAATTGCTTTTTTTAACCATTTTTACCAATCTGAATTGAATATTTCCGTGGAAGAGGTTAAGAAAGGATCTGGCATTTTGAAACAAACAAAAAGCAGCTCTCCGCTGAAACACCCACAACTTGTGGAAACACCTAGAAAAAGGGAGGGACAGATGAATCAGACGAACCCAAACCCTGGGAAAAATGCAGAAAGAAACTCCTTGTGCTACAGGAATCTTTCCTTGGAACTGAACACACCAGTACAGACACGAAAATCAGCCCAAATGCACCCAAAAAGGAGCTTTAAACCAGCCATAATGCTCTGCCTGGGGGTCAGTAGTGAAAATTTTGAAAAGGGTTTTAAAGGGATACATTTTTTAATGACGTTTTTATTAATGAAAGCAGCGTGGATTTCCATGTGTGAATAAAGAGTGTATGAGTGAATTTTTGTGTTTATGAAATAACCCGGTGAAGGAGGCACCTTAAGGCAGGTGGGGCTGGCCTGGGCTGGCCTGCATGAGCCCAGCAATGTCTGGAAAATTGGGATGGACCAGCCAGAGGTTCCTGCCCTCTCCAGAACAGGTGCAAAACTGGGAGAAATTAATGTGCATCAATGGGTCTTGGCTGGACTGGTGCTAGACAGAGCTCCCTCCCTCCCTCCCTCCCTCCCTCCCTCCCTTCCTTCCTTCCTTCCTTCCTTC